CTCCCAAGTAGCTGGGACTACAGGCACGCACCATCATGCCCAGCTAATTTTTGTATTTTTAGTAGAGACGGGGTTTCACCTTGTTGACCAGGATGGTCTCGATCTCTTGACCTCGTGATCCACCCGCCTCGGCCTCCCAAAGTGCTGGGATTATAGGCGTGAGCCACCGCGCCCGGCCCAATACTACTTTCTTTAGCAATTCAGAGCAGTTTCAGAAGGTTAGCCTGGAAACTTGAGTCACGGGGACTGCTTCGACAAAGATGCAATTTCTTATAACATCCAAATGGATGCCCAGATTGTTTCTGGACCAATCACCCAATAAGAACAACTAGAAAAAAAATCCTGGAAGAAATAGGGAAACTTTTGTCTCAAGGCGTGGCTATGGAGTCAGTGAGAAAATCGTTGGGCTAGTGTCTGGGAGGGAATATTCTTATAATTCTAGTTTTTATCCTTGCATGTTTCACCCTTCCCACCCAGGCTCTCCTATTCCTCTCTTGGCATCACTCCCCAAATGAATTACTCACATACATGCCCTTGTTTTGGGTTTTTATGTCCAGAGGTCAGGACATTTGAGGAAGCTGCTGATGGTCTTCTAAGGAGACAGATTGGGACTCGAGGCAAAGCAAGGGTGCCAGATCCCTCAAGAGCTTAAAGCGGGCTCTGTTTCTTTGGATGGTTCTTCTGGATTAAGCAGAACTACAGAATATACATTCCTTTCTTTTGACCCCAATATGTAGCCAGTGACTTTGTCCTGCCCAGTGTTACCTCGTCTGGACCACACACATCCCTCTCTTTCTGTTTTTTTCTAGTGCGACCACCATGGGCAGGGCTCCTCAATCCCATCCGGCCCATGCTGTGACATTCACAACTTCTGTCTGTCTCTGTATCGGCTTGCATACCCTTACCTGACAATCTTACCAAATATATCATCAACATATCATGTTTGTACTGATAAATGTAACACACCTACAGAAAACCACAGAAAGCAAATATATGACTGATTGAACCATTGTAAAGCAAACACCCTTATAACCATAGCCCTTCCAAAACTCCATCTCTTCCCCCTCAAGAGTTCTCTCTTTCCTTTCTGCTTTGGCATACAAGCATGCACCCCTAATCCCTGTGGCTCATTTTCTTTTGGTTATTAAAATGCATTTTAGGTCTCTTAACCTATAGGTTCAATGTCCATCTTTGTTCTTTTCTCTTAGCAATATTGGTGGAAGAAGCCAGATCTTTTGTCCTTCAGAATACCCACAGTCTGGATTTTGCTGATTGCATTCCCAGTATAGTTGGACGTGTTCTCTGTCCCCTGTGTTTCCTGTAATTTTGTGGTTGGGTCCAAAATATCTTCTTAATGCCTGACTTCCTTATTCAAGAAACCATCAGCCTCCCTAAACTGCTCCTCTTGCCTCTTAGGTGGTGTATTAGTTTGTTTTCACACTGCTATAAAAAACTACCTGAGGCTGGGTAATTTATAAAGAAAAGAGGTTTAATTGACTCACAGTCCCACATGGCTAGCGAGGCCTCAGGAAATTTACCATCATGGCAGAAGGCAAAGCGGAAGCAAGGCGAGTCTCATATGGCAGCAGGAGAGAGAGGGAAACGGCCACACACTTTTAAACCATCAGATCTTGTGAGAACTCACTATCATCAGAACAGCATGGGGAGAACTGCCCCCATGATCCAATAACCTCCCACCAGGTTCCTCCTCCAACACATGGGATTACAATTAGAGATGAGATTTGGGTGAGGACACAGAGCCAAGTCATATCAGGTGGGGTGTGTGACTCATAAATGGAGGCAGCTGAAATAAATGCCCCACCTCCTGTAACCCACAATGGTCATCTGGGCCAAGGGCTCCAGAAAGCACTCACAGGAGGAGTGACATGTCCTCATTCTCTTATATGCAGCAGGCTCATTTCCTCCTCAAGTTCTCTCTTCCAGTGGTTCCAGAGGCCGGAATATCTCCTTTTCCTTCTTGCCTTCTTAGTGGCATTCTGTTTCTGCCCATGCCCTCCATAACGCCCCTACAGGATTTAAAGTCTCTTCCAAAAATGATGCTCCACAATCATGACACCTCAAAGATGCCTCTGCTCACAACCCTGCAGCCTGTGACTGTTCCCTTCCACGGCAATAAGACTTTGCAGAGGTGAGGAAGGCTATTGCAGAGGTGAGGCTATGAAGGCTTGAGATGGAGAGACAGGCCTGGATTGTCCAGGTGAGCCCTCTGCCCTCATAAGTCCTGAAGGGAGGGCGACCTTTCTGGGATGCAGTGAGAGACACTCAGAAATGGAAGCAGGGTCAGAAAAGTTGTATCACCGCTAGCTTTGAAGGTGGAAGAAAAGGCCATTGGGTAGGAGCGCATGTGTGGCCTTCAGAGGCTGGAAAAGGCAAGGAAATGAATGGTCCCCAGAGGCCCCCAAAGGTAACACAGCCCACTGTCATCTTAATTTTAGCCCTGAGAGGGCTGGGTTGAGTTTCTGACTCACAGAACTGGAGGATCATAACTCTGCGATGTTTAAGGCCCTGACTGTGTGGTGAACTGCTACAGCAGTAATGGGAAACAACACCCCATCCATTGTGGCTCCGATGCCAGCCACGTGGAGGGGCGACTGCTCCAGTCTGAATCCCTGAAGGCAAAGGTGCCAGTCCTCTCTCACAGCTCCCTACACCCTGAGGCCCCTGGCCCAGTGCAGATGTGGGAAGTGTCTAATAAAATTAGAGTAAAAATAACAAAGTGAAATTAGTAACTCTGTTAGGAATTCTCAACATGAAAGTGATTTAACAGGACATTAAAATAAACACAATTTATATAGATCTTGGTTGCACTTCTCAGAAACTTTGTAAATCAATATTAGACATTCGTAGGAGATATCATGAGAAAGAAATCACAACCATTTGTTTGCTTTGTGACTTTAGACATGTTTTTAAAGCTTTTCAACCTCAGTTTCCTTATAAAGTGGGGGCCCTCATGCCTCCCTCACTGGGGCTGTCAGGATTTGATATTGTTCATGGTCAGTGGTAAGAATGCAGTGAATGATAGCTATTAACAACTATTGTGTTAATAATAAAAACTTACAATGGTAAGTTTTAAAAAAATATTATTTTTTAAACCCATTTGCATTTAAAAAATAATATTTCTAAAAAGTGTATTTTTATCTCACACCTTTCCTTCAAAAAACATCATTAACTGCCAACTTTGTATGGGGCATCAGTGAGATACTCTGGGGAATTCAAAGAATTAATTTTGGTGGCTCATGCCTATAATCCTAGCACGTTGGGAGGCGAGGCAGGTGGATCACTTGAGGTTAGGAGTTTGACACCGGCCTAGCTAACATGGTGAAACCCCATCTCTACCAAAAATACAAAAATTAGTCAGGCTTCGTGGCATGTACCTGTAATCCCAGCTATACAGGAGGCTGAGGCAGGAGAATTGCTTGAACCTGGGAAGCAGAGGTTGTAGTGAGCCAAGATCGCACCACTGCACTCCAGCCTGGGCAACACAATGAAACTCTGTCTCCAAAAAATAATAATAAAAAAAATTTAAAAAATTAAATGATTTTGCCCTGAATCAGCTTGTCATCTTAAAATATCATATGGACATTAATGACTAGAAAACAAGGTGTTTTTGGCTATGTGGCCCAGAAGAGGTTCGGAGAATGAGAGGAACTCCAAGGAAAGAGAGCTTATTGCATCAAGGGTGGAAGGGAAGGCAATGCGGACCACAGGCAGGAAGCTACACAGGACTATTCCTCCATGCAGCCTACTCTCCATTGGATTTACATTAAATTCACAGAAGAAAGCTGCCTAGTGAACTGTAGACTAAAAAAGAGATTATGTTACAGTGTCTCTAAAACATACCTTCGTATTAACTTATTTGCTCTCCAGTGAAGACTGTGATTTTAAAAAGCAACCCACTTACCAGAACTCTAGTTGAGAATTGCTTTATATTTTAGAAGTCTTTCCTTTTAGTTTTATTTTATTTTTGAGACAAAGTCTCACTCTGTCACCCAGGCTGGAATGCAGTGGCAGGATCTCGGCTCACTGCAACCTCTGGTGCCTCCTGGGTTCAAGTGATTCTCTTGCCTCAGCCTCCCTGGTAGCTGGGATTACAGGAGTGTGCCAACATGTCCGGCTAATTTTTATATTTTTAGCAGAGATGGTGTTTCACCATGTTGGCCAGACTGGTCTCGGACCCCTGACCTCAAGTGATCTGTTCATCTTGGGGCCTTCCAAAATGTTGGGATTACAGGCGTGAGCCACCACACCCGGCTAGAAGTCTTCCCTTTTAAAACATGCATGTAAACACTGAATCACTAGGCTGTAAGTAACAGGAGCCCTCTTTCAATGGTAATCTACTCAGTGCTTCACTATTGGAAAAAAGTAGCAAATGTAGGAAAACAAGTAAATTTTATTAACTTTTTAAAAAGTAATTTGAACACATGGCTCTGACCTAGTGCAGATTCTTTCACCCAATCTTCTACACACTTAGCACTATAAAATGAGGATGCACGTTCAGAAAGATGACTTGGAGACGTGAGGCACCCAGCATCAAAAAGGGACTCATTTCATTTACTGCACTGGGCTTTCCAAGGTGAGCTATCTGCCTACAATATGTGTACATGTTTTTAAATTTCAACTTATGTTCCAGCTGAAAGGAATTTCTGGTTAATCTTTAACCAACATGAAAATTTAATTTACTAAAACAGCTCCTTCCTGAGGCATTCTGATTAATTGAGGGTTATTGTAGCTAACAGAAACGTCTCATCCACGATGTTCACCTAAAGGTGGATTTCAACATGAAAATTTGCGTAAAATTTTAGCTTTCGTAAAGTTACGGAGCTCTCTTAAAATTGTTCCTATCTGAAACTATCTCTGCCCTGCTGCTAACAATCAAAAACAATGTAAAGTTTGATTACTTTTATTTTTCAGATCAAGCAGCTGTTAAAATTTAAAGTTATGATGTGTAACGCAGTGTTTGACAAAACTCATACTGAAAACTAGGCCAGTGTTTAAGTGCACTTATGTTCCTCCTTTGTTTTTTTGGTACCCTAACATACGTTCAACTTTATAGTGTTACTTCATCTGCTTTTCCTTTATTTACACAATTAGAGCACAGTTACTTCCTGAAGTCCTGATCACAATTCTTAGAAGCAGGAGAATCGTATTGATCATCCATAGAGGACACTCCACTTTTGGGGTGTGTGTGTATGAAATTTAACTCTTTGTAATGGTGGTTTGTAAAAAGGTAATCTTGCCAGTCACTGAGAGATGGGTTTTATGGACTTCTAAGCTGCCCCCACTAGGGTCTGAAGAGGTTGTGGGAAGGTACTTTGCAGTTTGGGTATGAAATCACTGTGCCATCTTAAGACTTTTCCTTCTCCATGTAGTCATGTAGGTGAAATGAAATCCAAAATTCTGTAAGTCCACCAGTATCTGTTTTGAGATTCTCAGAGTGAGTTCCTAATGGCCTCTTTTTAGGTCTCTTCACTAATGCTCACTCTCCTCTTTGACACACTCATAAGTGTGGAATTTCCATCCATTGTGAAAGATTTGCAAAGTGTCTTCTCTGTACTGGGTAGGCAGGAGAAGGGTCAGGACTGTACAGGAAAACCAGGCTTGGCTCCTGCCCTCAGGGCGTTCACATCGACACTGAGACGGATGACACAATTAAAGAGCAATAGGCTTGTTACTCCAGCAGGGTATTTATAGCAGTAATAGCAACTTTTCTAGCACAGAGGCACTTGAGGGCAGGAGCTGTGGCTTGTTCATTTGTGTACCTCCTGCAGTGCCCCCTCCATGTAGTAAGCTGGCAATAACTATTCATTACATTTAACGAATGTACAAAAGCAAAATGTTCATCCCTCACAAGCCAGTCCTCCCCACTTTCCTATTTCTGATCTCAGCACCGTTATCTTTGCAGCTCCCCACACCCAAAGCCTCAGGTTATATTTGGGCCCATTCTCTTTCTCATTGCTCCCCCACATCCAAGCAGCTACCAATTCATTTTGAGCCTCCCTTCCATTTCTCCTAAAACACTTTCCTATCCACGCATTCTGCCCCAGTTGGGGTTATGATCTCTCCTGGAAATGCAAACTTTTGTCTGCTCTTCCTAACTCCAGCTGTCCTACTGTGCATGCACCAAATGAATCTTCCTGGGCTGAGCCCAGATGATGTCCACACTTAACTGCTTCCCTTCTTGGCCTCGTGATCGGCTCTGTGCAGCCTCTGCTCCATTTAGGCAAGTGGGCCATTCCCTGTTCCTACGGGATCCTCCCATGTTCCCCTCTCTGCTTCAGGGTTCTGAGCTCCCACCACTGGGAATATTCTCCCTGTCTATCTCCACCTTTCAAAATCCAACCATTTACATTATTCAGGGTTTTGGGTTGCAAAAAGAGAAAGTGCCTCTGGGTACCTTAAGCAGAACAGGAGAATTTACCAGAAGAATATCAAGTAGCTCACAGGGGAGCTGGAGAGCAGAAGGGGTGCGAATGGAGCTGGCTAATTCCTGAGGGAGGGATGTGCTGGGACTATTTCAGCAATGGCAAATTGAATCTCCCCCTCCCTTGTCCTTACACCCTCTCCAGTTTCGCAGTCTTGAGTGGGAGGGCTCCACTGGCCAATCACAGGCCGTTCACTCTCACAGGGCTTCTGGGAATGGAGGGACTGAGGTGCCCACTCTGCTTCCCTCCAGGGTTCAGACAGGCCTCTCTAAAACCAGGAAGGGGCTAGATGTGGGGCAGCTGAATTAAAGGCAGCTTCCCACCACGTCATCTCTCAAGGTCATTGCCAATGTCGCCAGCTTTCATAAAGCCTAAAGCTGATTCTCTAGACATATTTTCTTTGGTACTGTTCATATTTAGTTTTATATTATAGCTATTCATATCCTGGTTTCATCCTTCTTTTTGGTTCTTTCCTCTCCATTTCTCCTAAACTGTTTTCCATCCATTCACTCGACTCCAGTTTGCATTATCACCTCTCTGAATGACGCAACCTTACATCCGCTCTTCCTGCATCATCCAAATGAACGGATCCTGAGCTGCATCTTACAATGCCTTACAAATAGAACTACACCAGAGATGCTTAATTGAATTGAAGGTTAAGAGAGAAGGTCACGAGGAAGCAGACATGAGTGTTTACCATGTGCTGAACACACAGTTGAGACACGTTTGCATGATCTCCTTTAATTCCCACAACGCTTTGCAAGAGTACTGTTACTAACTGAGGCTCAGAGAGGTTAAATGACCCCAAGGCACAGGCTCGAAGGTAGGCTTTGTGCCTCTGAAGTCTGACTCGGCAGCACCCTCAACCTTTGCTTTGTGGTTCCCATGAGTCCAAAGAGGGGCTAGAGACGGCCTTGAATGGAGCTCTGAAAGAGAAAGAGAGGGACAGGGAATTCCCAGCCGCCTTCACACCACAGAAGGCTGAAACTAGTGTGATTCAGTGTGGCACTGTGGGCGGAGCTGAGTGACTGAAGCAAACAGCTTATACTGGACAGCGGTAAAAAGGAGATTGTATGATAGGGCTAAGTTTGAGAGGCCTTTGGAAGAGAGATCATAAGGTGTAATCCTGATGTTATTTTAGGCAAAAGTGTACTGTGCGTCCTTCCACTCCGTTTTTTAAGCTTTCAATACTTTGTGATTGAAGACAGTAAAACAGATGTGGACATATTAATGGAGTAGAATGCAGGAAAACCTATACATTTTCAGATAAAACATAAGCTTCAAAGAAATGTCTCCCCCATACTGAGCCTTGCAGTGGGTTGGATGTTGGCCCCAAAAGATATGCTCACCCAGAAGCTGAGGATGTGACCTTATTTGGAAGAAAGATCTTTGCAGATGTTGTAAGATAAGAATGTTAAAATGAGATCATGCTGGATTAGGGTGAGCCCTAAATTCAATGATAACTTGTCTTTATAAAAAGAGAGAAGGGAGAGGACACAGGGAACCAGGTTGTGTGGTTCTGTGAAGACAGAGAGGCAGAGGTGGGAGTGATACTGTCACAAGCCAAGGAACACCCGCAGCCACCAGAAGCTGGAAGAGGCAGGGAAGGAGTGTCCTCTACAGCCTTCGGAGAGAGGCTGGTGTCTTGATTTCAGACTTCTAGAACTTTGAGAAAAATAGCCTCTGTTTTATCACCTAGTTTGCACTCATTTGTTAAGGGAGCCCCAGGAAACTAACACAGGCCTCTCGGGGCAAAATCCCCCAGCCTCACTTGGGGAAAATGTTAAGTCTTCTGTCATCAGATGACTTTTGAGGAGACCGTGGTGAGCAATGTGGAGCCATGGAAAGTTCTTGAGCACAACCAGGGAAAAATGGAAGCAATTTGTAGGAAGGTTAGGATGACGCTGATGTCCAGTGTAAATCTGAGGGATAGAAGAAGTAATGGTAGATCAGTTGGAAGGCAGTAGGTGTGGAGAAATGAACAAGAGTTTTGGAGTCAGGAATGTGCAGTTCTGACCCCAGTTCTTTGATCCACTATTGAAGTGATTTCATCTGCAAAATAGTGATAATACTATTGTGCATGGATTAGAGATGATATACATCAAGAATTCAATCAAGGTACATTACAAGTCTTGCTAGGAATGATGTATAAGTTAGGTTGCCAGTGATGGAAATGGAAAGGAAGGTATAGTAAAAAAGATGTTTAAGAATCACCAGAACTCAACCATGGGGATAGACTGCAAGGGGTCTTGGTGTCATTCAGTCCTCTCCTGGCTTTTCTTGGGGAGAACTTGGAGACAGGGAAGGAAAAGCCAAGATGACACTGAGGTTTCTCCCAGGAGCTGAGGTGCCTGGTAGACTCTTGGCCAGGCCTGAAACTGTGAGCGGAGAAGCTGGTCTGGGAAGGAGATAAGTTTCATTCTGAACATGGTGACTCGGAAGAGATGCTGGGCCATGTGTAGGAAGTGAAGATTCGCTGGGGAGCTCTGCTGATTCGCTGGGGAGCTCTCTATGGCTACAGGTCTGGGAGCTAATCAATGAAAGTTTAAACAGGGAGCATACAAAAAATAGTCAACTCTCTTAAATAAAGAGGTGTATATCAGAATAAAAACAAAGGGCCACTATCTGCCTTGGGGATATAACTTTTAGAGGGTGGGAAGACAACAAACTCTCTAGAGGAGGCAGAAATGGGCAGGTCAGAAAGGCAAGAGAATCAGAACTGGCTATGTTTGATGAATGAAAAGATGATGGTGTTTCAGGAAATAGCAGAAATGCCACATATTTTAGAAAACTGCATAGATATTGATAAAAAGCCACTGGATTTAGATCGAGACTGACATTGGTGACTTTCTAAAAAGTCAGAGAAGGAAAAGGCATGCAAGAACCATGATTCATTGAAAGTTTACAAAGCAAACAAGCTAAAAACTGGGTCAATATTGTTATACTTATTTTGAGAAAACTAATTTAAAATTGGGCAGACTAGAATTCTTCTTTCCTTATTGTAAACTAGGTATTTTTAACACAAGGCTTTTCCAAAAGGATGAACTGAAGTAGCTTCTTTCACAAGGTCAAAACAAAGGAAAAAAAGGCTGTTCCGATTCCTTGAGCTTGTATCTGATCCCTGCTCAGTGCCCTGTGCCTCCTTCCACTTACTGAGCTATTGCGGGCTACCTACTTCAGGGTACTTCATGTAGGAGATACGTAAATATTATCTTCTGGCTAGGAGCGGTGGCTCACACCTATAATTCCAGCATTTTGGGAGGCCGAGGCAGGCAGATCACGAGGTTAAGAGATCGAGACCATCCTGGCCAACATGGTGAAACCCCATTTCTACTAAAAATACAAAAATTAGCTGGGCGTGGTATCGGGCACCTGTAGTCCCAGCTACTCCGGAGGCTGAGGCAGAATCACTTGAACCGGGCAGGCAGAGGTTACAGTGAGCCAAGATCGCGCCACTGCACTCCAGCCTGGCAACGGAGCAAGACTGTCTCAAAAAAAAAAAAACAAAAACAGAAACAAAAAAACTCCCCATTTGACAGATTTTAGAAAGGCTAAGGCCCACCTGTGTGAAATTACACAGTTCAGGAAGTCAACAGTCACTCACCTGGCTGACTGCAAAGCTACAGTGACTCTAGTTACCTATCCTAGGATACTTCCTTTCTGGAAGAGGCAGGAGATGAGTGAATCAAATAATACTGCTTTATAACCTTGGGTAGGTTATTATTGCCTTAATAGTAAGCAGAGACCAGGAGCCTAAGAAAGAATCTTATTAGCATGGATGCAGGCTATCCTGCCAGGAAATCAGAATTATTTGAATATTAGAATTTCCTTAGGGAAATCACATGGGTCGGAAAAAAGACATCCGGATGAATGTGCTTGTGAAAGGGAAGCTTGTGTTTTTCCCCTTGGTCTTGGGTTTTAATCTTCCAAGTTTGTTTACAGGTTAGCCACAACTTGAGGCTGTGTGGGCTGAACGGTCCCACCATTAGCGACACTCCTTCTAGGGGCCCATTCGGACAGCTCCTCTTCGGGTTCTGCCCCACGGGTGTGCAACCAGGATTCCACTGGCTGGGGCTGGCCTGGATGCCTGTGAGGCAACAGAGGTCGAGTTTCCTCTCCTTTTAGGAAGTGCCTCGGACGGGACGATGGACTAAAAACGTGTCTGGTTGGGAAAGTAAATAGATGCAAGGCAAATAAATAAAAATGCCCACAAGCAATTACAGGGAGGAAGTGACATTTTTATACAAGTCACTTTTCTGATGGACAACAGGCCTGCTTCGCTGAGTGCCGTGGGAATGCTTCCTGGACGGGGGCGGCTGCCCAGCAACTAGAGCTTCGTGATAAGAACATCAAACAAACAAAAAAGAGCACGCAAAGCCCACCCGGTAGTCATCCGAGGCTGGAAGTTACCGCTTGGGTTTTCACTCTCCTCCCCACCCACAGCCCGCGCGCAATTTCGGGCGTGGGGACCCTTTCCTGCACCGGACTCCCGGCCCGCGCTGCGCCTGCAGAGCGGAGCGTCACCCAGTCCTGCTCTAACCCGGCGCGCTTACCGGGACCCAGATGCGGAGACTGGTGGCGGCGGGGGGCGCCCTAGGTGGGTCTCGGGTCCCCGCCCCGCGCGCCGGGGCCTGGGCCGGCCCCTGGGCGGCGTCACGGCGCGGCCGGGGAGGAGCGCGGGAGGAGGAGGAAGAGCGCGGAGGAGGCGGGCGCTGAGCGCCGGGGGAGGGTCGCCGCCGCCGCTGCCGCCGCCGCCGCCGCTGGGATCGTCAGGCCGGAGCCGCGCGGCCGAGCGGGCGGCGGGCGGAGGGGAGGGCTCGGCGGCAGGGAGGCTCCCGGCGCCCGGGCCGGCGGGGTCCGCCCGGGCCGGCAGCGTCCGCCCGGCGGCGGGAGGAGGGAGCGGCGCAGACAAAGAGCGGCGCCTGGGCGGGCGCAGCGCGGCCGCCGCCCCGGGACCCACGCCGCTGCCCTCCGGCTCCGCGGGCGGCCCGCGGCGAGGTAAGCGCGGCCCGGCGGGAGCGGGGCGGGGGCCGCCAACTTGGGGCCGTTGGACGGAGTTGGGAGCTTGACGGGGCTCGCTGGCCGGGGCGCGCCCGGGAATGGTTTGGGAGAGCGGGTCCCCTCCGCGCCCCACCGGTGCTCTCGGCCCCGCCGCGGCCTGGGCGCCCCCGACCGCGGGCTGCCCCGTACCTCCCGGCTCGGCACCTTCCTGCCCGCCTTCCCTTCCCCACCCCCCGTCATCGGGGGCCGGTGCAGGGGCGGGGACGCCCGCCAAGGGCGCAGGCGGGGATCAGGGCAGGGGGCCCGGCGGCGGGGCCCGGGGACTCGAGACCTCCGGGTGTGCAGGCAGCTCCTGGCCTGCTGGCCGGCGGCTGGAACGGAGCTTGGGGCTAGCGTAGGACCGTGCAGTGGCCAGGGTCGCCAGGGCGCGTGTGCTGGGGAAGAATAGCCGCGGATCGCAGGGCCCCGGCACAGGGACTGGGGAGGCCGCGATCGGCCGGGAGAACTTAACTGTGTTTATTACAACTATTTATGATCGCGCACAAAGCTGCTGTCACATCGCATAAAGGAGGTCCTCGCGTCGGCGAAGGGAGCTTTTGTGCCCGGCTTCAGGCTCTGCGCCCTACCCCAGATTTACAGGACTCTTACAGCCACCTGAACCAAAGTTTCTCACAATCGCTCGGCCTCTCGGTTTGTTTCAGGGCGATTTAATCACCGAGTGGTTCTGGAAACATTTGATGTGTGAGTTTTAAGGCATGGACTACGGTAACTCCCTTATGAACGCAGTTAGCTTGGCATTGTGTGGAGGGGTTTAATTTGCCACACACTTCAACTTGTAGACAATAAGGATCTCTGTGAAGGTCTGCTCTGAGTGCTAGGGGTCATTGGCTGGTGGACCCCAGGCACCTGACTTAAACTAATACTGTAACAGCTTCAGGGACAAAGCCGAGCGTGCGTGGAGTCGGCCTTGGCCACTTCAGACAATTCAGGTTGGCAGATTTCCCTTTCTTTGGCTTTATTTTACCAACAGGTTTAAGGCTGCTTCTGCCAAGTTTGCATCTGCATAATGGGATGAGCAGGCCCTAGTGTGGGCTTGAGGGGCTTAAAATATCGTATGGGCCAGCTCCCTCCTTCTACCCAGAAAGAAACTAGCCAGAGAAGCCAGTGGGCGTGGCTTGCTCGGGACCCACAGGTAGGGGAGTCCCTTCCTGGCCCAGGCCCCAGGCCCAGTCCCTGCTTCTCGGAAGGGATTTTGTGTAGGAATGAAAGTGATTCAGGGCGTGTTTCATGCTTCTGTTTTGGATGTAGTTATCGAGTCTGAAAGTGACTGAAAATGAAATTAACCTGGGCTACATTAACTTAACAGTACATAACTGTGCTTGTGAACGCTCCCTCAATTCACTTTCCAAGCGTTCATAGATAAACAGGTGAATTAGTAACAGGATTCAAGCCAGTGCGAGGTTCCTGTAAAGAGAACGGCAGTCACAGGACACATGGAGAAGAAATGCATTTCATCTGGAGATTGGGCTAGACATGTAGGTTTTTTGATGTTTAGAACAGGGATTTCCTGTGAAGCAAGTGTTAACCCTGCTTGTGAAGAAGTGACCAGAAGGGAAAATCCTACCTCAGTATTTTCTCCCCTGGAGGTTGGTTAGATGTAGTTTTGATTGGAGATGGTGGCAGAATCTTAGTGTTCTTTTGGCGGCTACTTGAGGCTGAAATTGAGAACTTTGACCATGGGAAGCTGTGGAGGTGCCTGGCCCACTTCCTGTCCTGGAAGCCTTGCATGGATTCTGAGCTTCTTTACTGCTTTATAAACATTCAGGGGGATTGATCATGAAACACTGGATGAAATTGGGTCACAAATTACCATCAGGGAGAGTTGGCTGCTGCATAACCCCCTCCGTCCAGTTGTGGAGAAACTGACCCTATTAATAGTGGGACTTGCTGAAGGCCCCTTTCAGGTAGCTGTGCTCAGTTTTCAGGCTTTATGTTTTGCTTAGGACACACTACATACTTAAATCTTCTTCATCCCTGCTCTGTTTGACCCTGCTGTATTTACCCAGGCGCTGTCATTTACATTTTGGGTTATTTGGTTTTTCCAAAACACAGCAGATCTTATGTACACAGTACTATATTTGAGAAATGCGCTATCATCCATATTAAATACACTGGAAGTCTTCCTTGCCTGTGCACAGACTGGATAACCTTTTATAATACCCTAAGACTCCCTGAATGGCACAGAATGCACTGGATTCCTTTACTTGATCACTTGCACTAGCTTAATTTGCCCTGACTAGATCAGGCTGTGTTGCTCTATGGGACACCCATTTTTCTGACTGCTCAGACTGGCTTGCCATGTGCGCTGGGGAAGACAGGGCTTGCGGAAATTATTTTCTGATATTAAAAATGAGGGTTAATGACTGAAGAGCTCAAAATTGCTTGCTGGGACTGCAGGGGAGGATGATGAGCATTGTTTGGGAAAACAAGTAAGCTAACTTTTTTCACAAATGAACTGGAAACTCCCTACAACTCACCCCAGAGGCTTAGGAAATTAGTTTTGCCATCCTGAGGGATTGCGAGTGGCACTTCCAAATGGTTTTTCTTTCCTAAAATGGGTAATAGAAATACTTCACGGCACGTTTCAAAGGGCCTAAGCTAAAACATGATTTCATGTGTGGTGTTCCATCTGTGAGTTAAAGCAACTCAGAAGAAGGTCATCACAGCCTTTTAACTGGTTGTAAAAGTATGCAGCGAAAGCAAAACTAGTTTTGCATTTCTTTAGGCTATATAGGAGCACAATGAAAAAATTTAGACTTTTTTTCTTTTCCTGTGTTTTCCTTTGAGCATTTCCCGAAGTATGTTTATTTCTGAAGGTAAATGAACATTAGCAAGTAATACCTCTGCCCAGTGATACACAGCTGCACACACGTGCGTTGGCACATACGTTCCTACCTCAACAATCTCAGTCCTTGAAACTGTGGAAATGAAAGTTATTTTGATTGAGGTAGCAGTGTCACAGTGATGTCACACAGCATCACTGTCCCTGACCAGCCTCTGTGTTCCACCTTGGCTCAGCCCCCTCAGTGTCCTGAGTTCTTATTCTTCCCAAGGGTCATCTCTTCTTTCTTTTCTTTCCCACATCTTATCAACTCCCAACTACAGGGATGACTTCATCTTTGAACCGCCACAGCACATTCTTTGTGTACCTGATTTGTCATCTATGACCTTTCCTACATTTTTTTTTTAAATTTTTTAATTTTTTTAAGGTAGGGTCTCACTCTGTCACCCAGGCTGGAGTGCAGTGGCACAATCACAGCTCACTGCGTCCTTGAACTTCTCAGTTCAAGCAGTCTTCCCACCTGGGCCTCCAAGTAGCTGGGACTACAGATGTGTACCACCATGCCCAGTGAATTTTTTTATTTTTATTTTGTAGAGACAGGGTCTCTACAGAAGGCCGGTCTCAAACTCCTGGGCTCAAGTGATCCTCCTGCCTTGACCTCCAAAATACTGGGATTATAGGCTTGAGCCACTATGTTCTGCCCTAAGCGTTTTTTTTTTTTTTTTTGCATTCATCTTTTCTTTAACAGATTCTGAACCCCTTGGGGGTAGACTGGTCTTGCCACTTGTACACAATGGGTGTGCAACAAATACTTATTGAATATGTATGTGAATATTGAGTTCCCAGCCTGTCAATGTTGGGGTTCTTGCCTCCCACTGAGATGCGAGTGTTAAGAGACCTCTGGCATTCTTGTAAATCTGCTCAGAACCTCTGTCTGTTGTGGAAGGCTTTGACCTCAGGATGTCCAGGCAATGGAAGAATTTGGTCTGTTGCCCTCTTTATTTGGTAAATTTTTTGTCAAGTGAGTCATTTGTAGTCCTGAAGCTACATTTAAAAGGAAAAACAACAAAAAAACGAAGCCAAACGCATACCCAACTGCATTACCTCGTGGGCTGGCTGAATGGTTTACTTTTGTAAGTTAACCTGTTCATATCAACCTCAGTTCGAAACGCTGGGCAGAGCGTTTGTGATCCTGGCCTGGTTATTTGTGTCACCTCTTCTTTCTACTGTTGTGTTTGTAATGTTTTTAAGAAAAGAAGCTTCAAATGCACTCCGAATTTAAGTATTGCAGTTTCTTTTGAGACAGTTTTGGAGGGCAGGGTGTTTATACTGCCCATTTGTTAGTGAAGACCTAAAACGCCATGGTGAGAGAAGAATGACATGTGTTAGTGCATGCACGCTGATTCATCGTTTGCAAAGTCCTCTGCACATGCACCATCATACTTAATAGTCAGAATAACATGGCACCCTTGGTTATGGCCCCTGTTTCTAGGTAGGAGATTGGGAGTGACAGAGCTTGAATTTAGGGGTAAGCCCTGCAGGCAGCACATGAGGAATACCAACACGTTGCTGGGTAGAGTTGTTTTTTTTTGAGGCAGTTTTCAGAACACAGTGTCCTCGGGTGTCTGCCTTTGCCATGTCACAGCTGTGTGCAGATATTGGTGGAGCAGATTCTGGGTGTGAGTTGACTGTGAGGTTGAGCAGTGTGAGGGGAGGCCAGCAGGAGCAATGTCAGTCTCTCAGCAATGTCAGCCTCACATCCTGTTACAGGCTGAGGTTACCCTGGAAAGCCTCCTCAAGTTGAGAGAGCTTATTCCTCTTTAGTGCTTGTATTAGTCAGCTCCAGGTGATGTAAGAATAAAACATACAGGCCAGGTGTAGTGGCTGATGCCTGTAATCCCGGTACTTCAGAAGGCCAAGGTGGGCAGATCATTTGAGATCAGGAGTTCAAGAATAGCCTGGCCAACATGGTGAAACTCCGTCTCTACTAAACACACACACACACACACACACACACACACACAAAAGAAAAGAAAAAACAAAAAAAGAGCCAGGCACGGTGGTGCACACCTGTAATCCCAACTACTCAGGAAGCTAAGGCACAAGAATTGCTTGAAACCAGGAGGCAGAAGTTGCAGTGAGCTGAGACTGCACCACTGTACTCCAGCCTGGGTGATGACATTAGACCCTGTCTCAAAAACAAACAAACAAAATAGACACACAACAACATAATGGGTGGCTGAAGCCGCACTTATTTATTTTCTCACAGTTCTGGAGGCTGGAAGTCCATAATCCTGGGGCCAGTAGGGTTGGTTTCTGGTGAGGGTCTCTTCCTGGCTCGCCTTCTTATGTCCTCATGTAGCCTTCCTTCTGGGAATGCATGGGGAGAGAGAGGTCTGCTGGTGTCTCTTCCTCCTGTAAGGACATTTGTCCTGTTGGATCAGGGCCCCACCCTTATGACCTTTTTTTAACCTTAATTGCCTCCCACAGTGTCCCTATCTCCTAGTATGGTCACTTAGGGGTTAGGGCTTCAGCATATGAATTTAGAAGGGACAATTCAGTTCTTCCCAGTGTGTCTGTCTAGGTTCTACAACAGGGCTAGTGCTTTCAGGAAGACCTGGTGCTCCCAGTATACTGATCTGGGATCTGTGTTTGTTTGGGGACACCTACCAGGGGATGGTTGGAGTAGTCACAAGTAAGGAGGGAGTGTCAACTCTTTACATGTTGGTTGTAGCACCCCATAACAGGGAACGAGGTGCTGGCCTTCCAAATGCTGGAAAAGTTTTAAGTAGAGTGAAGAGAGAGAAAAATCTTGACTTGATTTCATTTATGGAAGCTTCTCTTCTACATAGGTAGGGAGACACTTACTTGGGGGTTGGTTTGTCTCTGCTTGAGACCATGATAAAATATCAGAGATATGCGAAGGAAAGTCTTTTTTGTTGTTGTTGTTGAGACGTAGTTTCGCTCTTGTTACCTAGGCTGGAGTGCAATGGCGTGATCTCAGCTCACTGCAACCTCTGCTTCCTGGGTTCGGACAATTCTCCTGCCTCAGCCTCCTGAGTAGCTGGGATTACGGGCATGCACCACCATGCCCAGCTAATTTTTTCTATTTTTAGTAGAGACGGGGTTTCACCATGTTGACCAGGATGGTCTCGATCTCTTGACCTCATGATCCACCCGCCTCGGCCTCCCATAGTGCTGGGATTACAGGCGTGAGCCACCGTGCCTGGCTGGAAAGTCTTTTCTGAGCCCTGGACGAAGAGAGCAAAGCAAGAGGTGGGGCCGATGGCAGCCAGGGTGGAGAGGCTGTCCCCTCTGAGCCTGCCATCTCTGTGATTGTGCAGTCTTTGCCACATGAGCAAAGATCCCTTAGCAGAATGTGCATGACGGTGATGAGGTATAGCCCAAGCACAGCTGGAATGTTTCTGATCTAGGCTAGTTTGCCTTGTTCAGACATAAGGCAGGGGCAGTGCCTGCATGACTGACCTCCCTCTAGCTCCAGAGCTGTATGTTCATTCATGCTTTGTTTGTTCCTTAGTTAGTTCATACATTCATTCATTCATTCATTTGAATTATCCAAGTTCTTACTGATCATTTCCACCATCCCAAACCATTTGTGGCAGCTCCTCCAACCTGCCTGCCTTCTCAGTTATTTTCCCCACCACCGAATCACTGGGTCATCCTTGAATTCTCCCTCACCTCTCAACTAGTTATCAACTCCTATTGATTCTACCTCCAAAAGATCTAACGTCTCAGCCCTGCTGTCCTTTTTCTCTTTCCCTTGGACATCAAAACCATTCTTGCCAATCTGTCCCAGGGTGACTGCACCCTCATAGTCTGGCCACGACCTGCTCTCCATCGCCCTCAGGTCAGTGTCTCAACTCCCCAGCATGGCAGGCATGGGCATGCACGACTGTGCTGCTTCTCTGTTTCTCCCAGTGTCTGAATATCCCCTTCTCCACATACACACATGCTGAGCTACAAGTCATCTGTGGCTGCCCACTGATAGTTTGCTAATTGTGATAACAAAACTAAGTTTATAATCAGTTTGTTTGTAAAGACTTCTCTCCATTGCGGCTGGTGAAGGGTTCTGCTGTGCAGTAATGGCAGGGCTTCCCCACTGCAGCTTTGCGTAGAACTGAGCATGGGCCTGGCTCTCTGTCACGGGAGGAGGGGCGGCTAAGTACAGAAAATGGTGCATATGTATGTTTTAATGTGGACCGTCTTCCTGCAAATGTCATTTGAACTGATGGGTTGTCAAGCAGTGCTGACCCCTTGAAATACAATGTGAACCACAAATGCGAGCCCCGGATGTAGTCATAATGTTCTGGTAGCCACATTAAAAATGTGAAACGAAACAAGTGTTACTAATTTTCATCGTATATTTTCTTTTGCCCAGTATATAGAAACTCTTCCTATATGCAATCAATGTAAATTGTAATTAATAAGATAATTCACATTCTTTTATTTGTGTTAGGGCTTGGAAATACAGCATATAGTGTATACATTTACTGCACCTCTTGGCTCCCTTTCACTGCATTTTGAGTGGCTGGTAGCCACATGTGGTACCAGCCTTGTTGCAGAGTGTGGGTCTATACACTTCTCATGATTTAAGCTGCATTTGCTGTCTGTTTTCCAAAATTGAGATAACTAGAGACAAAGTGGAAACAATGTAGAATAATTATAATGGTAATTATTGTTGTGCTTTATTGGGAAAGGTGTAACCTTTTTAAATATAAGGAATAATGTCCTACTTCATGCACTCAGTGCGTGATGTTTTAGGGCACTAAAATCAGATTCAGTTAAAACTGAATGTGTCATCAAAATACCTTGTTCCTTTTACAATTATTTAAAAATGTGCTTTGAATACTAGAAGTTAAGTTACCAGTGTAAAATAACATTTTTGTATGTCAGTGTTCAACACATTTCTTTTTAAAGACTTTGTTCAGCACCTCAGGAAAGGCAAAAAAAAAAAAAAATTGTATACAGCTATGGGTACAAGTGTTATTTTGTTACATAGATTGCCTAGTGGTGAAGTCAGGGTTTTTATTGTATCCATCACTCAAGTAACATACATTGTATCCATTGAGTAATCCCTTCCTATCCTATCACCCTTCAGGTCTCTGGTTCCATCTGGATAATGGCATCCAGTTCTGCCTGTGTTGCTGCAAAAGATACAATTTCATTCTTTTTTATGGCTGAATAGTAGTCTGTTTTCTATATGTAGTCATCTGTAGTATTCAACATATTTCTGATACATGTTAAGTACAATCTAAAATCATATGTTTTTAAAGTGAACATTAGCTTCTTCCCTCACACACGGGGACGGACACACACACACACACACACACACACACGAGTAATCACTGTTCTAAGCACTTTATTTACACGTAATAACTCATTGGGTCCTCACTAACAGAGCACGTGGTTACTTTCTGTTTGTACCCTCATGGCTAAGGAAAGGGCTGCCATGTCTGAGATTCCACAGCTAGACTCTGACCAAGCTGGCCACCATCCCTTCATTAAGATGTAACAGAAAATACATTAAACAGAATCATAAACTTTTATTATGGTGTAAGATTTGAGAAACATTGGTGGAAAATCATTGATAAGGAGTGGAGCTTGGATACAGGTTCATTCTGGGAAGCCCTTATCAGCCAAGTGGTTGGGGAAGGCACTGGACTTTGGAAGGACATAATGAGTAACTGATACCTTGGAGGAGGGGAAGCCTTGGACCGTCGTCAGTGGACACCATTGGCCTTGCTGCTCCTCCCACCCAACCCCCTTGCCGTGTTCTGTAGGCTGGTGGTCCTCCACCTGCCCAAGTCTCCAACTCAGCAGGAAGCACCAGCATCCCCTGGAGAGAACCGCTGTTGGAGGGAACTGCAGTGCCACTGGGAGAAAGGGAGTATTTTCTGTTGCAGTCACAATGTATTAGTTCAAGTGGCCATGTAGTTGCCATCACAGATGCCTGTGTGTTGTGCCTCTTCATCAGCAGCTGTGTGGTGGGTCCCCACCCTTGTCTCCTCCACACTGGGGGCTGAGGAAACAGGAGTGTATGTCTTCTCACTCTTCCAAGTGGCCCTGGACCTCTATGCTGTTGGAATAGCTTGCACGAGGCCATTTTTGCTGCTGTTTTTCTTTAATGAGTTGCTATTGTTGAAGTAAAGATAGGCAATTAGATTCTTGATGAAAACCTTGTAGCTGGACATACCAAATCCTTTTCCTTTGTGCTTTTATGACATCCGGGAAGGTCTTGAAGAATTCCAGGGTGGCTTTGGAATCTGCTTCTGAGGTTGTGAGAGAGGCCAGGTCAAGTCCAAGTGTGGATTCTTGGGAAACTGCTGCTACAGGTCCTGATGGGAACTCTGACACTGGCTGCCCTTCCAAGTGAGTTGTCTGTGCCAGCCTCTTGAACCTACCCTTTTGTGTTGAGAGGACCGTTGGGGGCCATCAGAGGGTTGAGCAGCCCTCTCTGGAGCAGAAGGGACTGAGATAGACTGAGTCTGGCATCTCTGTTGGGAGAAGCTCCTGCATATTCCAAGTTTCAGAGGGGCTGCAACTTGGGCAGCTTCTTTCAGCTCACAGGTTTAGATTTGCAATCACACTGCCTCTCATGTGGCCACTTCTATATGTAGCAGGTTCCAGGATGTGTAGTGGCAAAGATTTGTTTACTTAAACATGCTTAATTTCCCAGCAATGGTGGGGCAGCCAGGAAGTGAAAAGTAAGTTAGATGGTGGCGAGATCACAGGGGGATGGCTAAAAAGAAGCACATGCCCATCTTAGAGGACAAAGTCCATCAATGCCTCCTTCGATTTTCCTTAAAGGTTGTGTCTCCATTTAATATCTTAAGAATTTTGGCTGAGTATTTAAGGATGTCTGCAAGTCAACAAATATTTTAATTATGTCACTTATGAGCTTGGCTGCCGGAGAGAAGAGCAGTTGCTGTCTCTTTCATGCTTTCCCTCTCGTCAGCTGTCTTCATTTTAAGGACAATCACTTTAAAAGCTTGTATCCCTGTTTGTGTGTGTCTGGGGGAGGGCTGCATTGGTAATAAAACAGTCCCCCTCTCACCTCTTTTTTTTTTTTTTCTTTTGCTGTTCTGCATGATGGAAGCCAGCTTGGAGACATTGACATAAAAACCACAAGCTGCTTGAGTATTTTTAAATAACAAGGGATTCACTGAGTTGTTAGAGACAGTTTTTGGGAAATTTAATATAGGTGAAGAGTGAATTTTCATTAAATGAGTTAAACAAACAAACTTGGTAGCAGAATCTAGAAAGATGGTTATAAAAACAGATTTTTTTTTCAATCCAGCCATTTCCATTCTTTCTTTGTATTCTTCTGGCTCTCCTTTCACTTTTCACATTTGTGTGTGACTCCCCTCATGCCATCTCCCCCACCCTGAACACCATGTATATTAAAGTGTGTGTTTCCCATGTGTCTTTGTTACTGCACTCATATGACCTTTCCTTTATGTACTTTTGTTATTGTCTTCTTAGGACCTTCCTAACCTGGATTTACAAGGTTCTCTTCCCTTAAATTAAGCCATCTGTCTTGCTTCAGCTCCCTTTTCATAGTTTTCTTACTAGTTCTATTTTACATGGTTTAGTAGACAAGACCCAGAGGTGACTATGAAGAAACGGTGGCATTATCATCTTTAAAAGAAAGAGGAGGGTGTCAGGCACCGTGCTGTCGATTGTCATTTTGAAGCTTTGCTGGGTAGAACAAAAGCTCGGTTGATTGATCACCTATGTATTGGATGTCTAGTGTTGAATTTGTTGCTTCTTAACTTGATTGTGCCAAGCACCTCATCATCCCTCAGCCATCCCAGTGGGTGTGGCTGATTCCGTCTTCTGTAAGAAGTAGGTTTCCTTTCATGAATGCCTCCGGTTGATGAGGGTTCCATGTCTAAGGAAGAAAATATGTTTTTAACACACTGCATGTTCGTACATAGGGCTTCTCATTCATTTTAGATCTTATTCGTTATTAGAACTAGATTGGGAAGTAGAAACAATTTACTTGTGCAGGTACACAAATACCTTTTTAAATGTTAGTATTTTGAGAAACTTAATTGAGACTTGAACCCATGTCTATAAATTAATGGCGCTCAATTGGGGCAGTTTTGCCCATGTGGACATTTGGTGATGTCTGGAGATATTTTTAATTGTCATGCCTGTGAGGTGCTACTGGCATTTAGTGGGATGCTAGACCAGGGATGCTACCAAATATCCTGCAATGCATAGGACAGCCTCCACCACAAAGAATTAACTAGCTCAAACGTCAGTATTTAAGCAACCTTGATATAAGTGAATGCTGCTCTGCTTTATTTAAATGTTTAAGTCAGGGGCACATGCATTCCTTCACACAGTTGCCTTTGGAGATCAATTTTTCCTCCATTTTAATAAACATGGTGAAAAAATACATATATGGAGATCTAAACATGATTTATACATGTATGCAGTTAAGTATGCAAGGGAGAAACTGTAATGTAACTGTAATGTAACTGATTTAGCTGTGTTTTTTTTTTATCTGTAATAATACTAGTGTTAAACTGATGGCATACATTACTTTCTTATTTTCTCATTCAGCATATTTCAATGATAAATAAACATACATAGTTAAAGTACAATCAATCTTTCAATCGTAAACATACAAAACGCTGATTTTGTAGGAAACATTTTGGTATCTTGCCAGGATGTGATAAAAGTACATTCCCCTCACAATGCCCACTGACGTGGAAGTAATGAGGGAGCTTTTATCAATTACTTTTAATAAGTAATTGATTTTCAGAGTTTGGCCTAATCAAAGACATCTGTTTTCTCAGCTCAGAAGCCTTACGCTGGTGATTGTCTATA